TTTTTTTTTTTTTTTTTTTTGTGTTGTTGTTGTTGTTGTTGTTGTTGTTGAGCCGCCCTTCTCACTGTCGCCACCCGCGGCCGATTTGTTCACCTTTGTCAACTTTTCCAGTTCTTTTAACCTTTTTGTTTTCGTTTTCTTCCCACCCCTCCACCCTTTCTCCTTTCGCCAAGCCGCCTCCGTAGAATCAGGTCACCTCGTCGTTCGCAGCTGATGTAAGAACACATCTGCTGCGCCTTGCTGCCCTTGACCTTGTACCATTGTATATGTAGTGTTCACACCAGTTCGTCACCTTCTGAGGTAAGCAAAAGAGGTGGAAGATTTGAAAAGACATTCTATAGTCCGGGCTCTGCAATGGAACCGACGACGCTGCTTGCCATCCTTTGCGCTCTAGTCTTCTGCTTCGCGCTCATCCTGAACCTGATTTACGGCTCTGCGCTAATCTGGGCTTGCCAGAGCTACTACATTCTGCCTGGCCGGAAACGCAGGCTCTGTATGCTTGTCTGCGCTACCGCTGCCTTCTTCGCCTACCTGGGTGCTGTCAGCAGCGCCTCAGCAATCGTGTGTGCCTTTTTTTTGCGTCAAGCAATGGTGGAGGAGGACACTTGAAGACATAGTGAAGTGCCTTCACATCTCTAATCTCTTCGCGCACGCGCCGCATCTCTCTCTCCCCCCCCACACCCCACCCCTTTCGCTCCTTCCTTCTTGGCCTTTTTTGAAGTTTTTTTTTGCTTAATCTGGCCGTTGCTTTGCTTGTTCCCCTTTTTTTCCTTTTTTCCGTTTTTCTTTTTTGGCTTCCTTCTTCTTCGCATGTTTCGCCTTGGTGGGACTGCTGTCACCTCCGCCGGCAACTTTTTTTCACCTCACTCTGTCCCTTCTCTCTTCACATCTATAATGGCCAGCCATAACCACGAAGGAAAAGGTGGCAAAGACCGCCCTCGAGCTTTTGGCATGTGCTTTTCTCGCGTACATCACTACTCTAGCATTCCTGGCACTTCTGTTCTTCATCACGTCGCTTCCCTACGATAGCACTAGCCAGCTCCCCACCACACAGCAGGATGAACAGGTGCAGTTCCGCAGCAGTTCGATTCGACAACGATCTTCTGGTGATGAGTTGGCGTGGGGCAGAGCGCGCACGAAGGATCATGCATGTCCCCCCCATCATCCTCCCCACCTCCCGCCTCCTCCTCCTCCTCCCTCTCCCCCTACATGCCCCCCTTCCCCTCCTTCCTCTCAGTCCACACCTTCCTATGACAAAGGAAGGCGCCCCCTCTGAAGACGTTGCCAGTGGCAGGCAGCTGAAAGGCCTCAGGGATGTGCCACCCCTCCTGTGGATCTGCCTTGATGACCCATGCGTTGGAAACACAGAAATCAGAAGTCACGGAATGGCACTGTGCAGGATCTCTTCGTTCTTCCCCCTCTCTCTCACATCCCCTCCTCGACTTGATAACAGATATTGAGGACCATGCTCGCTGAAACTTGTAATCGACGATGATTTTTTTCATACCCTCTTTCGGAATTGGTCGTGATTTGCTGTCATCCGAAAGTTTGAGCGTGTTTCATTTGATTTTTTGTTTTGTTTTTCCTTGCAGTATTCTTTCCCTTGCATCTGAATTGATGATATCCGTCTATAATACTATTTGTGGCTCAAGAGTTAGTGGCCCAATTACATCCATGATCCGGTGCTAGAACAAGAAGCACGGGCGCATGGCGCTAAGGGCAGAGGGATTTTCGATCAACGAAAAACCAGATGGGCGGTGATTTGGTTTGTTATGGAAAATCGAGTTAATATATGTATTTTTTTCTCACCCTTCGATAATTAGTCACTCTCTGCTTGATTTTCGTATTTCTATGATTAAGGAACAACCGGCCCCCCACCTTCATGATTCAGTGTTTTCTGAAGCATAGGCTCATGGAGCTGGGAGCAGTTGGCTCAATCTAATAGAGATAGGAATGACATGTGTCAAGAAATTAATTTGTTTTGAAACAAGGGAGAATTGTTTGAAAAGATGCATAGTCGGTTTTTTGATCGAAGAAACGTGTCACAACATGAGTGGTCCCTTCAAAAAACTTCCCTCCTTCGAGATTCCCTTTCTTTCTTTTGTTACGATCCTGGCCAATTTCGAAGTATACATTCATCTGAAAGTACAATGCCATCCAATTGCAAAGAGAAATGAATGAACTTGAGAGGAAAGAGAGGGAAAGAAGAAGAAGAAGAAGAAGTGAGAAAGAAGAAGATGATGATGTACTCCAGCATAGACCAATGTCAAGGCTCTTCTTCTTCGCCAACCAATCCCTTCCTCCTTATCTCCTCCCTCTWATTCAAACAAGAAATAACAAWAATAATGYTGAATGACTGAACCAGAATCCATGTCCGAATCCCACTTCTACTGCAGGCACAACATGAGGTCCACCATAGCCATGGCAACCCTTCTTCTTCCTCTACATACAGGCCGGGGCTATGGTGGATTGCTGAGGCTTCAGCCTCCTGTCCAAAGGACCACTCAAAGCAGCTATGCCGCTGCCCCACTTCAAGGTCATCACCATGCAGCTGTGCCACTGCCCACTCAGCCACCATGCCTGACTCTGTCCCGAGCTTCCTTGATGCGGCACTACCCCCACTTGGGCCTTCCTGATGCAGCGCCTAGCAAGGAGATGAAGATGGTGTCTACCATAGCCAGTAAGTACCTCGCCACTCTCCCCCTTGGTCCCCTTCTCCCTCCTCCCCCTACCGGTAGAGCTCCACCATAGCCAAGGTGGAAGCTCCAGGCTTCTTCCTCCTAGCAGCGCTGTAAGAGCCAGCGCTCCTCCAACCAACGCTCCAGCAGCGTGACGCCCAACTCGCACACTGAAGAATGAGGCTGGGCTCTCCGCCCTGCCTCTTGATATAGCGGCCTACTTGCCTCCTGGGTGGTGACCTCCAGGCCGCTCGGCCTCTCCAAGCAACCGGTACGTCCTCCGTTTCGGAGGGAAACATCATTGCAGACCCTGATATTACCCGTACAGGCTCTAGACTCGGACTGGTTGGACTGGTACGGGCCTAGACCTACCCTACCGCTACTGGACTCTAAAAATAACAACTTTGTCTTTTTCTGCTCGGCCTCCAGTACCCCTCACGCCAACTGCAGTGGGGTGCAGTATCGGCCTCCCGGCCTACTTGAGCGTTTTTCCGCTACCCCAAGGGCCGCGGGGCCGCTAGCTTCGCCACTAGCTTTGGGAACCTGGAGCAAGCTTTGGGAAATTGAGTGTTTTTCCCTGCTACAACCCTCAATGCCACGGCCACAGGTAAGTACCGGCCCTACGGGCCTACCAAACAAGCAAGTACCCTTGCGGGTCACACACACACTCATACCGACAAGCACTCAGACAGGCACGCAGGTCACAAGCACGCACACACAGACAGACTTAGAAAACACAGCAGAATGTGGGAATCTCAGCAAGGCATCCATTCCATCGGCAGAACTTCAGAAATCAGCAGTGTTCTCAGTCTGTGTTTTGACGGGTC